ATAATAATGTAGGTTGTCCATACAATGATTATATCGTTAATATTTGTAGGAATAAAACCCTAGTTAACCAGAAATAATTTGCTAGGATTATAAAAGATTGCGATAAAATAGAATTCTAGTAAAATAACTATACGGTCGCATAGTTATGAATTTCAGCCTCCTTGTTTTCTGCCTCGATTAACATGATCCATTTGACTTCCGCCCCCGAGCCCAACATGGAACTTGATGTTTGGCTTGCCCCGGTCAATGTCTCGTCCACCGTAGCTTGAGCCACCAACCCTATCTCTTCCTTGACCCGCTTTGCCCAACGGATCCTTCCCCGGGCTCACCCTCATTGCATCCGTACATTAGATTACATCAAGATGCTTTATCTTCTCTTTTGAAAATAAAGCATCATACACCTCCTCTATTATGAAAGTATCACGACTATACAAGATCGTGTCTCTAAATAAAGAAAACGAAGCAGGTAACAAACATACTAGGATCGAGGCCAAATCTTTTTCATCATACTTTACTTCCAAAGTTTCAAAATCAGTGATGATATCTTTAAATATAGACAGGTGATCTTCCAACGATCATCCTTCTACCATTCGATGAGAGTATAAACGATGTTTGATATGCAACTTGCTTGTGAGACTTTGAGTCATGTACAATTGCTCCAACTTCAACCATAAAGCAGTCGTTGAACCCTCCTTCAAAACTCCTGAAGCATGGTATTCGATAGATAAAGATGAATGTGAGAAACTGTCTTCTTATCCTTCCATAATTTATCCACCGCGGTCAAAATTGCAGTCATCTTGTCAATTCCCGATAACGCATCATCCAAATCTAGCTGTACGAGTACTGCATGCATCTTAACCTTCCATAGCGAAAATTTAGTACTCCGATACAAAATCAAATGTCATACTTCATGGAAGCAATCGCGAACAAAAACCTCGAACAAATAAAACCTTGTACTCTTGCAGAACTGCTGAACCTAGGCTCTAATGTCACTTGCTATAAAACCAACCACCGGATTGAGATGTTAAAGTTATATGGCACAATAA